TTTCTTTTATGTTTTTTTATGTGAATTTACAACAAATGAAATAGTTAAAAAAATTATCAGTGAAGAGTTGGAGAAGTCAAGCTATCTTGACTACAAAGTTGAATTCAAAGAAAGAGAATATTGTCTTAAGTGAACCATTTTGATCACCTAAGCGACGTAAGAGAAAGAACGATCTTTTTTGGGTATTGAAGGCTTTTGATTAAGCAAATCATCGTAATCACTTAAGTGAGAAAAGCTAGAGGGCACTTCCTTTTGAGCTTTTAAGACTAGCAAACCATCTAATGCTTAAGCAAGGTATAATAGAAAACACATGTAATATTTTTCGAAGGCTCGCTTAAGCAAACATTCTGGTCACTTAAACAGGTAATTTGTTTAGGCCTTAAGCATAAAGACATATAAAAAGGCCTAGGAAAAGAAATTGCATTCACTGATATTGATAACGAGTTGTGTTTTATAGAGAGGAACCAAGGAGGCAAAAGTACTCTTCACGGATGCACCCTTAAATCAAAACATTTAAAAAATAAATAAATATATTAACCCATGGGATTTAATGTTGTTAGGAAACACTTTTAAAACAATGATATAGAAAAGAAACCTTATATACATTATTACTAAGAATAGTATAAAGTTTATTAGTCAACATTCAAATCTCTAATCTTAGTACAAATCGCTTACACTTTCCCAAGGATTTGAGATTTTAATTAAAGGATTTAAAATTTCTCATCACCTAAGAAATTATGGTTAGAAGATTATATATATATATATATATATATATATTTATTGATGGTTAGATTAACAAGGATTTGCAACCAATTAGAATGTGCTTAGAAATTAACCCTGACTTCTTTATCATTAGTAAATCACAAACTTTTTTAATTACAATTTCTTATAGATTTGAAAAGCCTAAAAAAACATAATTATACAGTTTTCTTTATAATTTAATAAATTAAAGGATTCCAAAGTAACTTCTCAATGTTTTTGTTGTTGGTCTTAAATAAATTTTAGATGCAGATTAAATTTAGCAAATACTATTTTTAAAATTTGAAGTTATATGTAATTATATTTTTCATTAAAGTTGGTATCTTATAATATAAAAAATTCTCTTCCTAAATTTTTGGCATACTAAGATAACTTTTCCCATTTCATTAAGACTTATTTGCTAAGATAAAAGTAGGGTGGAAATTGAGGGAAGGGAAAAGAAATGAGTGAAAGTTAGCTTTGAAATATTATTTGGTAGAAGAAAAGTAAGGAAGTAGAATTAATTTATTAAAAGCCCTTGAAAAAGATGGGGAAAAAAACTTTTGTCTCATATAAAGGGAAGAACACCAAAGTTGAAAAAAAATTATATATATATATATATATATATATATATATATATATAGAGAGAGAGAGAGAGAGAGAGAGAGAAAAGAAGAAAAAAAAGAGGGGAGAGATCAAATTACTCCAAAAGTAACTTTTTGTAAAGTTAGTTTACTTAATAACTCAGTATATGTTGTGTAACACCCTCTACCCCCACATAACATAATACATGAATAAATAAAAAATGAATAGAAAATCTTATCATAAATAAATCTCAATATTCAAAATAGAAGGTATCACATTTTATCTTAAACAAATAACAACAAAAATTCAATTGAAATTACAAAGAAAATAACAACTATTTAAAAATATAACAATAGAAAGAAAATTCATAATTATGTTTTGATGTCACATCCTATCAAAGCATGACCTATTTATGAGGACTAAGTCTCATCACCAACATCCTCAATATCATGTTGAAAATCACGTGCAACAACACAAAACAATGGGAGTGAGAAACATCTCATTCTGGCTCACGGCATAGAATGCAGTCGGATTGACAAACACAAACAAGATACAACATTTAATCACAACAATACTATAAAAATGTTACAATTGTTCAAAACATAATAAGCTAATACAATAGTTCATTCGTATGCAATTTGTAATTGACACGGACTACATCTAATGTCAATCAAAAACATCATGTGCTGTTTTGACTCAAGCAACACACAAAGTAGTCTATGAGTACATGTTAGGTCACACTCTCAATGCACTCTCACTAGAAGAATATACTACCAGGGTATAGTAAGATAGGGAAGTCATGCAATTTCCACTCCATGCACACAATAGGCAAGACTGGGGCTTTCTAAATCTAATTGTCCCCAAGGACTGATGCCCAAGCTTTTACACAAGGGGGTCTTCTCTAAAGGTGTATTCCATATCTTATCCTTCAAAATCATTTATGCATATGATGCACTATACATACCCATAATTGTGTGTCAATTATCTTTACAATTTATAATCACATCATGGCTAAGCCTCTCTTAAACTTCTCATCATATGATCCTCACAAGATCCATACACACCAATTATATTAGTACTATAGCACATCAATCAATTCATATATAGCTCATAATCATGTCAATAACACACTCAGATACCATAACTAGTTTTTCAACATTAATTAGTACAATGATTACACATATTTGTAGTTCAACACAACAATTACACGTCATCTAATACACCTCAAGATAGAATCATTATGAAATCATCTAATTTTATGTTAACACTTCAACCATAATCACTAAGAGATCAACGTCACTAAGCATTTAACCAATAACTTAACTAATCTAGCAACCTTATCAATATCAAATATATTAAGTCATTAGGCATCATTATCACCAAAACACCTCAAGTTGTTAACAATTAATTCACATCATACTTATTCACAATTGTTCTCCATCATGATTTATCTTCCTAAACATTAATATAGTTACCTCAAATCATTCATAAGATCAAATATCTAAAGGGTGAAACCATTCAATACTAACACTATGAATCAAAATCCCAAGCCATGCTACTGAAACACCTCAATTATAATCATTATAAGAACATTTGTCACCATTATATCTTTTGAATATTAATTAACTCGATTACTTACTTATTATTACTAGATTGTATCCTCAAGCTAACCATCCTCAAGTTATCTCAAACTCATAAATATAACTCATCTTAAGCAAAGGGAGAAAAGACAAGAAAAGAATGAGAAAAATGAGCAATAGCATGAGTCACAGTCATGACTCTGGTCATGCCCTTGACTGACCAATCACAACCATGACTCATCGATCACACTCACGACGAATCTGACAGATGTGAACTTCGATTCTTTGGGCCTCATAACTCATCTCATCATCAAAATTCATCAAAATTGGTCATCAATTCATAGAATCATAGACTAAAAACCTAAATTCACTTTATTAAGCCATCAATTACATAAATTCACAGGCTCATATCATCTCCTCATACAAACACCAAAATACATTCTCTTAAGGTTCCTATAGAAACCCATGGACAATCCAAGATTCACAATTATCAAATCAAATACCAAATTGAATACATATACATATCAATAACATCAAATAGAACATCGAATAATAACAAAGAAGATAAAGACGCATTTTTAGGAAACCCCTCACATACAAACACAGATGACAGAGATGGGATTCAACATACATCCCACTCCCAAAATGAAACTATTCGCTCCCCCTTTACCTTGATGAAGGGTAGACAAAGGATGTGGATCTTCGAAGTGATCTCCAATGATTTTTTTATTCTTCTTCCCGTTCTTCAAACCGTAAGCGTGAAAAGAAAATAAATGTAAAAAAAATAAAATTAAAACTTGTGGTAATCTCCTCTTAAAATCTCAATTCCTTAGTAACTCAATAGTTAATATATTTTAACCCTAGTTACAAAACTCATCCTTGACTTAATAAAATAAATAAATTATTTAATTATAAAGTATTATAATATTTTCATATACATATAAAATATTAAAATGATTATCAAAATCAATCCAAATAATTATAACAAAATACAATAATAGTAATTAACAAATAAATGATATAATATAAATATATTTCTCCCCATACAATTATAATTAGAGTAAAATATACAAAAAATTATAATCAAACACGTATTTTTCTCCTAATACTTATTATAATACGATATCATAAAAATACATATTTTTCTAATAAATATTATACAAAAAAAATTATAAATATTTATTATTTAATTAAAAGTACTCATAATGATTAAAAGTCTCTAAAATATTTTATAAAATTCTCTTAATTAATCAAAATATCATTTTAATAATTTTAGAAATATTAAGATGTTGGATGTTAAATTTCAATGATCTAAATGTTAAATTAAAAAATATTAATATATAAATAAATTCTAAAAATTATCAAAAATTTTGAAAATCATATAATACTTTGTTATTCGTCAATATAAGTTGATGAATCAAACTATCAAATAGTTTTCAAAATGTTTAAAAATGTGTATACTTGATATATATATATATATATTAAAAACTTTAATTTGATTATTTGGTCGATGAAATTCATCATATACTATAAATTATTAAGTATATTAACTTTATCAAAAGCTACTATTAAATATGTATATGTGTATATATCCCCTTACTTCAAAATAATATAGTTTAATTAATTCAATCAATAATCCATAATTTACATTAAATTTTAAACAATTTAACTATTAAATTAAATATTCATAATAAACACATCAATTCTACAAATTTACAAAAATATGACATACTTCATTTGATATTCCCATATCCCTGTCGTTATAATTTAATCTGCCAATATCCCTTGACCCACAGGTCCCATTAGCCTGACATATGGTTAAGTGTATTTTTCTTCTCAGATAGCACCAATCAACACGCAGAATAATTACTGATATTTCGGTGCCTCGGCAAATAATTAAATCAATTTATGCAGTTTAAATATTTTATTTCCCTAAACAATGGTTTTTAATGAAAATCTGGAAAACGAATACTGAGATTCTCATCATGTCACATGGTGAAAAACCAAAAAGTTTTGAATTCATAATCTTAACTAGAATCCAAGCATATACCGAGAAGATTCTTTCTGCTTCAACTTCTAACATATGTAGCCTGCTAATTTAATCACAGAAGCTAATTAATAAACTTTATTCACCATCTATAGTATTATTAATTAGTATTTCTACATCGTTATGTTACCTTGATTCACCCAAGAGCTATAACACATATTTCAAAGACTGTGCTTCTAACCTATGACTGAAGAGAGTACACAAAGGAGTACAGTTCTATTCTACAACTAGAGAAGATAAACACAATACAAGACTAAGGACACTGAACTGCACAGATACCCTTCACAAGTCTCACCAATTTCACATATATACGCACAAGATGTTACTTGTGATGAATGTTGCATGTAACCAAATCATTTACTGCTGTTATTATGCTGATTGAAGTCCATGAAGTTAGGGTGATTCTGTCCAGAGGGAGGAGGAGGCATGCCAACCTGTGGCTGGTGTTGTGACTGCTGAGGTGCAGAATTAGTCAACTGTTGCATGGCTAGCTGGGAAGCCAACTGGTTGAATAACCCACCAAAAGAAGGGTTACCAGCAATAGCACCCAAACGACTACTTTGTGCCCTAAGGCGTTGCAGTTCTTCCTTCAATGCCTCATTGAGATCTACAATCACATATTGTTGCCATGTTGATTGATATTCATGTCTTAAATTAGAAACAAGCAAATAAAAAATCGGCAACTTAAAAATTTCGAGCAATATTTTTTGCTGGACTAGAATATATTTTGTTTTGAAAAATATGCATTAGGATTCTCCAATTCTTTTGTGCACAATTTAGGAAAGGGGTAAATTTGGCACACATGAAGATTCACCGGATAATGTTCATGCAACAAACAAGTGTAATGAATAATGATTGAAACTTATTTATTTATCCAATTCATATGAAATGATAGATAAAAGGGGACAGAACATGTTCATTTGTTAAGGCATATACACATGAAATGATGCAAACCTTCTCTAAGCTGCGCTTCCTGCTCCAAAGCCTCTAAACGCAGTTTGAGCTCCTTATTCTCGGCTGTCAAATCTGTAGTGTCTCTCTGCATCATATGAGATATTCATAAGTTTGCTGCTTTTTTGTTCGTTCCCTAATCATGCATGCGTACAAAATTGAATTTAAATCATGCATGCGTACAAAATTGAATTTAAGTGGAATACTAAAGCTACATGGTCAGAATAGTTTGATTGAATTCAGACAAACTTTGTTAAGCTTCAAGGGTCGGAATCAGATACGTTCAAGTGGTGGGGACCACTAATCTATACAAGAGTCACATGCACAAGCACCAATTTGAGTTTTGAATTTGGGATATCTTACTGAAGTCTTGCTCATAAAACAGACCTTGATAGTGGTGAGTTCCAATGCAATCAAGGGAACCTAATACCTAGGTGTTGGATATGTGGATGATTACCTTTCTATAGTCTGGCCACCAATGTGGTATCTTGCAAGTTACTTTTCTTTAGTGCTATGGCATTAATTAAGAACAGTCATAGCCTCATTAATATTTATCAAAAGAAATTTGTAAGAGACAAGGATAAAATATCCTAATACATAAAAAAGAAAGCATAACACACATCATTTCAGCAATGCATGCCAAACACTCTTCGATTCAATATTCAATGAAGAAAGCCCTCTAACAAAGTCACTGGTCAAACAACCCATAGAAGCTAAGAGGACCAATATATCCCAAGTTCCCAAGGTGGTAACTACATGGAATTATCCTTGACATATCAGACATATCCGACATTATCCTAGTGGTAACCAAATCATTGCATACTTAATATGCCATGAAAGAACCTTTCCATCTTTACCTCTTAAAAAAACCAATAAAGAAAAATATGGCATAAAAGTTTTCTCTGAACTCAACTTAATATTCCATTTTCCCCCAAATACACTAAAAATTCTGCACCAGTATCCTCTGGTTTCTTTACACTGTAAAGCCAGATGCACATAAATCCTAACCATAAGATACGGTTATTAAATCATGAAGTGATCATGTCATCCATCCATGCGCGTCTAGAAAGATATGACATTGGTAACTTGCAATACAGTCAAGTTATAAAAATTTGATTATATATTTGAAAACATTGCATTCCACACCTTGGCAATGAAAACAAGCCAACCTACCTCAATGATGTATTGATGTAAAATACTTTTGGAAAAACTGTATAGTGTAGGGTGCAGGCTAGCATTATATTTATGAGTAAAAATAATGAGATTACTGTCCACTGTCCAGTGTACTTCCTACTCTGCTGTATTACAAGTAGTTATAAGCATCCAAACTACCATTCCAACAAATAACAATGAATCCTTATCCAACAAAGGTAGGCTAAACGCAACAGTTGATGCCTTGGGGAAGTATCAAATACCACATTTTCGTAACAACCTATGACAAGCATATTGACAAAGTTGAACCAAAGAAAAGAAGCATAACTAGGTTAAGTTTGCCAGCTGCCTAACAAAACTCTCTTCTATAATCTTGGCTAATGTTTGATAGAGAAAGAAAGAAATTAGCAAAGCTCAGAACCAATTTACATGTTCAGAACAAAAGCACTTCGGTCATGCACAAAGAATAGAAGATATTTAATGACCGTAGCAGATGACAAAACTAAAGATATAGGATGCAACAGGATATGTTATCTATTTGATTCAGAACAATTGATTGACCCGCATGCCCTGTGATTCTATATTATTTATTAGCATCCATACTTGCATAGACACACCTTCACAGATATATTATATATGCTTCTGGTATATCAAAATATGTTGCATGCATCCACATTGCATAGGATTTCCACGGTTGCTATTATGGTTACTCTTTAAAACAAATAATTTTCCGTGACTCTATGGTTCTTTTTTTCTACTCAGATTCTTCTTTCCAAATGCTATAGACATCTTTGCATTCCATTTTTTTTTCTTTTTCCTATTGCTATGCATATATTTGATGACCAAAATCTTCTTTGCTTTCAGCTTTTACCATGTTTGTCGTGAAATCCGTTATATAAACATGTACAGACGATAGACAAATAAACAGGGCTAAAATGTTCGTCATGGTATCACATGACTAGTTTTAAACCTTTGAATATCATTCTCAGTTCAATTTACTACCCCAGCATTGAATCATGACTTCTCATATGACTGGAATCTATGCATAAAGAACCAGTTCATGCTTATCATAATCAAAATGAAGTCTATAACTTGTTTGTGATATATAGCAGCCACAGCCTTAATGGTTCACAAGTCACAACATTAATCAGGGGGAAATCTGGCAAAAATATGCTCCATCTAATACAACGCTAATTTTTTTTTTCCCAAGTATAAGATAAAAAATGTGACTGGTTTGTGACCATGTAAAGATATATATCATTCATTGGCTATCCTTGATTGAGTTCTACACTGGTTATTCGGTCCTTATCAGATAACAGATGTGTAATAAGAACAAAATGCAACAGTAAATTTCTAAAAACCAATTTGTTTTTTTAATTTACACAAACATCCTCTTTGTTTTCTTTCCCATGTAACCAAAAAAATATAGAAATTCAGCTGAGGATGGTATAATTTTTGAAGGATCTTTACTGAAGGTTAAGGGAATCATATGTAAATTTTCAAACTATAAGGGAGGTTTCTGTAATAAGAGCAAAATGCATAGGATGACATAGAAAGTAATTTAATCTAATTTTTACCGAGGACAATTTCATATATACAGCACAAAATGTTAACAAACATTTTGCATTTAAAGAAAGGGCCCTTGACAATGTGTGGGATCCATAGACTGTTGTGAGCCTGTGACAACACAACTAAAAATCAGCATAAAGTAAACCTACATCATTGTTAAAGTGTTGGGGGCTCCATCAAACTCTGACAAGAACAAGTTACCAAATCCATGTTTATCATCACCAAAAGCTAGGACTTATAAATGCAAAACAAAAGAAAGGGACATACCTGAAGCATGGTAAGCTGTGCAGAAAGGTTAGTTGCTTCGGTCTGAAGCGTCTGCACCTTCCTCTCCAACTCACTTGTGTAACGAATCTTCCTCTCCTTAGATCTAGCAGCAGATTGCCTGTTAGCAAGAATCCTGAAAACACAAAACATCCCAACCAACATCAGTTTTCAAACCAATTATTTTCTCCCAGCTTTCCCACAATCTACATCCCTCAATCCAACTTCTCTTTTCGTTATTATCAAAAATAGGAAAAGATAAAGAATCCAACAATTCATAACCACGCTATTTTCAGCAGAAACAACCTATTTAAAGTTAAACATTACAAAACAAAAAGGCACACACGAATGAACTAAATCAAATTTATGACTATCACTGATCCTGCAAACACATACAACATTCCAAACCAACATCAGCACATCAAACCAAGATTTCTTTCTCAGTTTTCATACAATTTGTAACTACATTATTTTCTGTAGAAACAACTTAAAATTATCTCCTACAAAAACGAAAAAAAGTTACATAACCTAAAAATTAAATCAAGTTTTTTCTTACTAAAAGCCAGACAAGTACATCTACCGAAGCCAATTTTGTTTTAGCCGAATAACATCACTTAAATAAACTTTATCACAAGATTAAAGTCACAAATACAAAAGTAGTGCATGGAAACACTAGTGGAGTATCATGCACAAGTTCCTAGGTTAAAACCCAGGTGTTTTCATTGTAATTCTTAGTGATCAAAAAAGTCACAAACACAAGAAATAATTGAAATTGCACTTAAACTTATCCCAATTAATTTCTTTTAAAAAAAAATAATAAAAGAAGAACCTTTTAGCTCTCTTAGGATCAATAAGAGCAAGCTCAGCGAGTTTCTCCGGAGCCATAGCTTTCTTCACACCATCCATCATCACCGAGTCCGCCTCAAACGACGTCGTCGAAGACCCGTCCATCGAGTTGCTATGCCGGTGGTGCCCCACCCTCCGCTCGCCGCCGCCGCCGCCTTTCCCGCCGCCCCTCTCATCTCCGCCGCGCACGAA